GCCTTTCTCTTTGGTACATCGCATTCACGAATTTAAGCGCAGTACTAGATTGGCAGTTAGCTCTCATCATTTTATTGTAGGTACCTCCACTTTTTTCGCTGAAAAAAAAAAAACAAACAGCATAGCATTATGAAAAAAGGACCTAAATTTAATAATCACAAAGTTTTATCGTCAAAATGTTTGTTATTCAGAAGAAAGGCCAAGGTAGTTTTTTATTATTTTATTAATTTTTTAAAATCCTTTCTACCACGTCGATCATACACGACATTATCAGAAAATAAGAACGCTGACTCTACTAAATTTAAATCCAATATTCCTAAAATTACATTACAGTGAATATTTTCCAAAATTTTTAAGACTACTGAGTACTTAAAAATTATATAAAAAAGGCGCTCACGTTATTTTCTTAAATTATGTTTTACAGATAAATCTCCGTGCAACAAAGGCCCCAAATTTAATGTGACATCGCCTGTTATCGCCTCGTCAATTACGTAAAACATGACGATGTCGATTAAAAACACAGCCACTTTTTGTTTTAAAAATACATTTCTGTGTTATTTTAAACTTAAAGTAAATAATATTCTTTTCAAGAGTAATTATACTTTAACTCAGCTAATATTCCTCAAATAAAATCTCAGAAAAGTATATTTTATTTTTGGAAGATTTTTTAACACAGAGAATTACATTGTGATGAAAAACGTCTAAAAAGAGCGTTAATCAGCTATTTTAGAAAAAAATCGATTCCAATCAATATAAACCAAATACATTAAAGTATTTTGCTTACTGGAAATAGTAAATGTAATCCTTTAGTTTTCAATTAATGCTAAAATGAAAACTTCAAAAAACCTCTATCATTTATAAAAAAATATTTTAAACCTTCGGTTTCGCGGATTGGTGGAGGTACCTATTTTGTTGATAAAATTGCTAGATGTAACCGTAAGTTCTATGTTAACAGTTTCTTCTCTCGCACTTCTCGCTTGTGGCATTATCTTCTGGCGTCAGTTGTCATCTTCAGTCTTCTTGAACCATGTTCTTTTATTGTAATCACTCCTCAATGTTTTTCTCACATTCTTTCACTCTCACCTTGCGTCTTAGTAATTTTATTGCCTTGCTTGGGGTGAAATGTTAAAAAAACGAAATGTGAGAATGTGAATTGAATATCGGAAATTGGCTCAAAAAGAATGCAAATATACAGTGACACGCATAAGTTTTTAATTTTCCTTACACATACAACTAAAACAACTTTACGAGATATTACTTACCAAATATCAGGCAAAATGGCGAACATAAACTAGAGTTATAACAGAAAATAACATGTATCCAATACTTATGCGTGTCACTGTATATGACAGAGAAAGGAAAGTGATAAGATGAGATTTGTACATTTGAGCTGCGTTCGATCATACAAATAAATAACATTAACAAAAAAAAAAAAAAAAAAAAATAGGAAGAAAAGAAAAAAGAGCCCAAAGTTTGGGGAAGCAGTTGATGAATGTATCATGGTAACTAGTAATCATACGTGATAGTTAAGAATAATTTTGAATTACAGTAATATACCTTGATGTTCGAAAGGCAATGGTAGCATACACGGTGGATTAAAGAATAAATTTCTTAACCCAACATTTACGTTAGATAATGTTATGGGTGTTCAAGCAAGGGAATAACGCAATGGAGACAGCTAAGATATAAAAATATGTATTGTTAATGGTTAAGGAGTCCTAACTGACACCATATTCAAATCCAGGGTCTTCTTGTTGGGGGGACTCCTTTCTGATTGACAATGTCTTCAGGAGTGTAGCTGTACTCACCACGCTTGGCCAACTGCGGGTTGGTGAGGCTATTTAACCTATAGTTGGGGAGGATGGCCATTGACTCTGAGGAGTTCGTCTGCCCTGTAACAGCCATGTGACTAACACCGTAAACAGGGCAAAATAGACCTGTCAAATCGAAGTTGTTTTTAACAGCACACCCATAAACAGCGAATATGAACATTTAGAAACATACCAGGATTTAATTTGGGAAACTGTGGTCATGTCCATGATAACTGGCATGCTTGGGAATTGGGGAAGTGGGGATTCTGGAAAAGGTTGAAACTACAATAGCATCGGAATCTGAAGGGATAACAAGAAATTTGTTGGAATATTGAGGAGTCTTATTACTCAATCTCCGCCAATAACCAGCGGATATCTGGTGCGAATATGCATGACATAAGATAATAATAACAGTATATCAGAAAAAATATAAATCAGTAACGACAAGAGAAAACCTAATAGAATAGTAGATGTAGACTGTGTGGAGACAGAGATGAAGCTGTCGATTATATAATACGTAAATGTAGGAAATTAGCTTAGAATGTCTACCAGTTTATGCATGATTGGGTAAGAATGTTGATCCACTGGGAATTCTCCAAACATCAGGGATTAATGAGATTAATGATAATTGCACAAAGCAAAAGCTGTCATAGACAATGAAAAAAGCAAGAATCTCTATTTTTCTTATTTAAATTCAAGAGAATCATCGACTCCAAGTCAAACGATTGTATCTAATTAGTGTGAACATATAATGGCTGCCGATGTTCTCACGGGTCACAGAGTAAAAGTGAAAGAGACTGAACTGAAGAAATTGTTGTGTATAAAAGTGAAGGGTATGATCAATTTACTTGGAATTATCTCGAAGAGCTATGGAGTATTAGAAATGTGATTGATTGATTTGTTTTTTTTTTTACTGTTTATCAACCCTTTGTAGACTATTTAAAGCCAAAATATATTTTGGATTGTAAGAATAATTCTCTCTTGGCGAGTGCATTAACAATTTTGAAAATGACACTGATTTTTGCAGATACAAATACTACTATCTAATCCATAACTAAGGGGAGGAGATGAATTCATACCTTTTCCAAGGTTATTTGTGCGTAAGTGAATGTAACAAACCTGACAGGAATTCGAACTCGGCTCTATGATTTCTCATTCCAAACCGCTATCCATTACATTTCCCGTACATTGAAATTAAAAATGTGAAACCGTATTTTAAAATCACTAAGCCTACTGAGGAAAGTGCTGGAGCATTAAGGTGACTTGTTATCACTTGGCCTTCAGTAAAAGCCACCAGTTAATACTGGTATGAATATTCAGTGTGTAAATACTACTACTATTAATAATAATAATAATGATAATAATAAAAATGAAAAATGATGATAATGGAGGTTTCAATTATAACTAAATAATTAAAAAAAAAAGGAAGGAAAAAACCGCCCACATACATAAACAGCAAAAGCGATGGAAATCGAATTTTATCAAAGGCGTTTCATCCAATAATTAAATTCATGGAAAACAGACAGCAACAAAATTATGTTTTGATGGAGGAAGAGGAAGAGGGGGAGGAGGAGGAGGAGAAAGGTGGAAGTGTTGAGCAAACAGGAGTAGTTGTATGACGTCATTTTGAGGGTATTAAACCAATGCACCTAGTAACCGCATCCTATCATGTATTATCCGACGACTGCTGATATCGTTAAAATTTTACGAAATCCGGACATCACGAAAACTTTCTCCTGTGTAAGCGTGTGTGTGTGTGTGTGTATGTGTGTGTGTGTTGGTGAAGGGGGTGCTAAAAATTTGTCAGCCCCATCCACTTTTCATGTGACAAAACATCAGATTTTTAAAAAAATATCTTCTAGGTCGGATCAAGGACTTTTCAGCACCCACTCGTTGCTGGGTACGTTTATGAATGAGAAGGAAAAGGCGTGTGCATGTATGCGTGTTAGAAGTAAGGATAGAGAGAGAGAGAGAGAGAGAGAGAGAGAGAGAGAGAGAGAGAGAGAAGGCAGAATAGAGCATAGAGCGTAGGGTTGTATAAGAGTAGGAAGGGCAAGATGAACGAAAAAAGAAAAAGAGCGGAAGAGAGTGCGTGTGCAGCTGTACACGTATATATCTGAGAGATAAAGACAAAGTATGTGTTCTGGATGTGCAGATTGTGTAATGGTTAGAGTCTCGGAAAGAGAAATCAGTGAGCCGAGTTCGAATTCCCATCGAGATTGTTACATTCCCTTTCGTCCATATACTTATAGTAGAGATACAAATCCCTCTTTGTTACCCCAGCTATGGGTTAAATAGCAGGAGAGACTCGACTCGTTAGAAATGTTGTTTATGAAACTAGCATGTTATTTTCCTTTGACAGGTTAACACAGAAGATTATTTAACAAAAATAAAAGATCTAACTTAAGAAGGAGGGATCCCTTGCCTTGAACGCCTTGTGGAACTCATATATCCGATCTATTGCTAAAGATGGTAGAAAAATGGTCAGTTTATTGTATCGCTCCAGTAACTATCCCTGCTATGCTCTATCATTACAAGAGTCAGATGAGACCAAAAACGGAGTATTGCTGCCTTATCTAAGATGGAGTTGCCCACTCCTCTTTCCTGTGCTGATAAAGTTTCAAAGCATCTACGCGCAACTTGTGGGTGATGTAGTATTTTCCACCCTACAACCCCGAGCCACATTTCTCCTTAGTTCCACCATCCTTGACTTTTACAATTGGGACCTACCATGCCACGTACACAAGTGTGAATCATTCCCATTCATTCGAGAAGCTTCTTCCCAAGAACTGCTGCTTTGTGTAACAGATTCCTGGCAGGATGTTTTCTCATCACTACAATCTTGATTATGGTTAACTGTCATCTTTCTTGCATGACTTTTCTGACGCTCCCCTACACGGTACCCGTTTACCTTGAGTGGCTCTTGGAACTTGTGTTCGATGGATATTAGTGAAAAATAACTGCCATAAGTTTTGTCTGGGAAGTACTCAACCATTTAATACTGACGATAATACACTACTGAAGTGCTTTGAAAGAGAAAAGCCGGACTTTCACCGGCTGAGGTGCAATGCTATATGAAATTCCAGACACTTCGGTAAAAAAAAAATCGGGTAAAAATTTAAAATAATTATACATGATTATTATTTATTAACGGATATATATAATTTTGAGGATTTAGTGTTAAAGAAT